GGGCCAGCGCGCAGCCGCCCCGCCTCCTGCCGCAGCTGCTCGTTCTCGTTGGACAGCTCCTGCCGCTCCCGGCGCAGGCCCGTCAGCTCCTTGGTCAGGGCGTCCAGCCGCTGGCGCAGCTGGCGCACCTCGTCCCGGGCCTTGTTGCGCTCGGCCCGCACCTTGCTCCACTTCTCCCTCCAGTTGGCCGTGCAGTCGGACCACCAGCGCATCGTCTTCTCCATCTGGGCGGCCCGGGCCCGGGCCTCCTCCAGCTCCCGCAGGCGCAGCTCCTCGCGGCTCTCCCAGTCGCCCCCCTCGCCCACGCACACCCCCGGCGACAGCAGCAGGGGGGGGCTGGAGTTGGGGGTGCCGCTCTTGGGGCTGGAGGTGGTCAGGCTGTCCGGGGAGCGCATGCGGTCTGGAGGCGGGCCCAGGCCGGACAGGAGACTCCCCCCCGACCTGCTAGCTTCAGTCATGTGGGGACTAGGTGTGTGGTTCATGGCTGCCGGGGAGCTGCTGCACGAGCAACGGCCGTTAGGAGTCCATTTCCCGCATCCGGGAGGTTCCTCGGGCAACTGTGGAGGGAAGGAAATCTCACTCAAGGCCCTTGCAAACAATGACCTGCGTTTCAGGTGACAGAACTGCGTTAAATTCTCACAAACTATGGCAACCCCCAGCAATCCATTTCTGAACATGAACAACAGCCTTTGAACCCTTGTGACGTCACGCAAAGGAGCCTGGGAATAGACGAGAGTAAGAGACTTTTGACCTCTTGGTGGGTAAAGCGTCTGCAGTCTTTAACTAAGACAACTTCAACTTCAACTGCAAAGACACAGCTGTTGTATTTTGAACCCTTCCAGTAGTTTCATGGTGTTCACGAGTAACACCATGATGAACGTCTGCAGACACTTCTCCTCATCCTCTTCCCCAAAAGACATTTTCGAAGTCAAACAGCACAGTTCTCTTAAGGTCAGACGCTCAAAATGCTCCACTATTGCAATTCTGCAAGGTTTGAAGAGTGGATGTAGTTCACATAAAGTACTTAATCAATCCTCATTCAAAACCCAAACAATCCTCACTCCAAAAACAATGATTCCATTAACAGATATACTGTAACTGGTCCATCATGGCCTAAACATCCTGTTCTTTTTTGTTGTAATGGCTTAATAAACATCTCCTTCTTAAAGATACGAATTTTAAGTTACAATTTTATGAAACTCCTTTGCCCCTTTCAATAAGAACTAAAGCCAACTTTAAGAGTTTTATTCACATTTTCACAAGCCAGAATAAGCCTGATCGTAGCTGCGATGTGTAAACCAGAGATCTCTCCAAATTCCCTGCCAGAAGCCTGTTTTATTTCTGGCTAACAACACTAAGGTCTATACTATGAAAGCTATATAAACCTATTCCAACTCCAGAGAACTATAAAGCAATGGTTCCTAAACTTGGTCCTAATGGAATACTGTGTCTGCTGGTTTTCATTCCAACTGAGCTCTAGCTCAATCTCCATTGCTAACTGACAACTTAATTAACCTGTTTCTTTGTTTAGACTTTTATTTAACTTGTTTATTTGATCACCCTGAGTGTCAGAAATACCTCGCTTCAACACCACAGTTTCCAACACCTTCAGCAGACAGAACTTTACACAGTCTTCTCAACTCTGCCTTTGCCATTGTTTCAGAATAAAAACCTCTTACTAGTTAATGAATAGAGGGTGACCGACTTTGTTGGCTGTAGCGGAGGTTTAGCTTATAGTCAGGAAGTTGAACTGCACAGCCATTAGATAAACCTACACAACAAGAGATTAAAACCTAAATACGAGAATCAGTGAAAAGATTTGCCTTAAAAATATTGCACACTGATATCTGAAAATAATAATAAATAATTAATAAAAAATAATAGTTGAATGCAATATATAGTTTATGTATGAATATGGAAGAAGCCATTCTGTGTGGCTGAAGATCTACTACAATTTCATTACTAATTACCAAACAGGGTAGATGCACTACGGGGCCTCTTCTTGTTGTTAATCATTTTTTCTCAAAATATATGGTGAGGAAAAAAAGCAAAGGGGGGTAAAACTATTTCCTACAAGAGCAGATTTAAACCCTTAATCACCAAAATGCAGGGGATGGCAGGCAATCCTAAGGGCCTTACCTATACAAGAAAATTACCCTTTTGGTGTAAATGATTAAGGAGTAATCGCATTTGCCACTGTGAGATCTATGAAAGAAGCAGTTCACTTTTAATTTTCATCAAAAGCCTTCATCATGCCCATTTTTTCATTACCTAATCAAATATCCCTGCTCGTAAAAGGAAAGAAATGTATGGGGAATTAATTCACTGCATGACTGAACAACAAGTCTTATATCTTTGCTTCAAGGGGGCTTTTGATTAGTCCTTCTGAAAAATTGCCAATGCTAAACAAAGCCATTCGATGTGCAGTGCCTCAGATAAGGTACTTTTTTAGATTTTACAAATACAGCATTAATTAAAAAAATTCAGAACAAAAACTGCACATATTAAAAGGTGCTGGTTCCAGACAGAGCTTATTCTGACCTCCTACTTCTTTAATTTAGGGATCCCCTGTAAATGCTGGGGCAACTCTAAAACAAATTTCCAAATATCAGAGCTTTCCCGGGTTTCATGGTTTGCTTAAAGGATAAATGACAGAGACCGGAATGAAGATGAATGTCGCAGCAAGGTATCCATAGTGTGCGCAGTGTCATGAACGCTGAACTGAAAGTCTAACCTTGCTTCCTCAGGCTCGTGGCTTGTGAAGGGGTGCACTCTCAACGTGCTGACTCGTGTTTGTCTTGCACCTTGTGTGCACACCGGCTCTCTGGCCGCAACACCAGAAAAAGCAAATGGCTTCCTGTTATAGCAGGCACAGCACTCCATGAGCGACCTGCAAACAGGCAAACTCAATGAGCCCCTGTGAAAAATCTTCGTGAATTGGAATCTACGAGGTTAGGGCACGGACAACAGTGTGCCAAGCGAGAAAGGTCAGATGAAAATCTTTTTCTATAAAGGCCTCCTCACAATTCACACACTTTTGAGGGGATAAAAGAGGATCCACTGTTTGGTGATGCAGTACATCGGGCTGAAGTACAAACCAAGAGAATTCCCCCTGTTTATATAATCTCTAGCACTTAAAGGCAAGGGCATGGGGCAATAGGTTAAGACTCTGGACTGCTAACTGGAAGGTTAACTTTGCAACCTTTGAACAAGGTACCTCACGTACCTTGTGCCAGTAAAACACCCAGCTGTATAAACGGGCACAAATGTTGCTTTGGAGAAAAGAGTCCGTCAAATAAGCTCATAACGTGTCCAAAAGCGTAGGCCCTGCACTGGATAATAGCAAAACGTTTTTATTTTGTGCCACCATTGACTCTGCCACTAAGTTTCATAACCAAATCCATATGGAGGTGTTGGGCGCTTCTATCCCTCAAGCGCACCGTTTTTTTTAATGTGTGTACTTGACCGGCTGTAAGAATCGCTTCTTTTTCTCACCACTGCGGCTGCGGACTTAAGACTCTCAAGCCGCACTGTGGTTCCGAAAACGGGATGTGTAGATTTTAAGAACAAATGCGCTCAAACTCCCATCCTCCCCCCGCCCCACCTTCTCAATCGAAATAAACACAAGCACACACAAGCTTAATAATGAAGTCTTCCATCTGTGGTCCAGACTTTTTCCTGTTTCCGTTCTCCCCTGGCGTGGAGAGGGGGGAGACAGGAACAACATGCAGCAACAAGAAATAAAATCACCAAACCGTCTCTTTCTGCAGCGTAAGAGGGGAGAGAAGGGATGAAGGACTAAAGAAAAGGGAAGTAAAAATGTAATTAATGGAATTCTTTCCTCTGTCATACTGAAAGCACCAACAGAGGAGAGGGCAGGAGGAAGTGGCACCATGAAATAAGAGAGCTAATTACAGAAGCACTTCTGCTTCAGAGGGGATATAAACCCTCTAGATTTGAAATCCCAGCGAGATGGGGGTAGGGAAGGTCACAGACATTCAGCACCATGGACCCTGCCTCACAAATATTTAGGCTACAGTTCGTAATAAAGATGCTATCAGCTCTGCACTCCCCTCCGTACCCCTCTTTGGTCAAACTCACAGCTGCGCCGGATATTACCAGTTGCTCCACAGGTAAAACGAAAAATAAAAAAAGGTTTTGTTCTTTTTTTTGTGTTTTAACAAGGACACTTTTTGGTCTGTGGGTTGCGGTTGTCTGTTGCCGGCTTTTCTTGGACTTTAACGCAGCTCTGTGCTTCACAGTTAAGCAACAGCACCGCAACTTCTAGATTAAAGCATCCTTTGCAAATCGTGGCTGTGTGAACATTACTGCAGAAAGTTCAAGAAAATAAAACACGCCTGTAATCTAAACATGCAGGACTCTGAATATCTTAACAATTCTCACAAACTACTGAGAAGGCTCTGGTGCAAAACAGACACTACGTTTGACAACTTTTCATCCACCATGAAGGCTGCTGCAAAATATAAATGATGTCTATTTCATTATCAACAAGGAAAAAATGTCCATTTAATACAGAAAAACACCAGCAAATAAAGCACTGCAATAAAGAGAGCATCATTAAGTGGTTTTACTTATTTTCTTAAACGCCACCAGGGGAAGCAGCTGACAGGCATTCTCTTCTGTTTTTATAGCTTCTCACATTGAATGTAATTTAAGTTAATGCATGACTTTGCACGTACAGTTTGCACAGACCGACAAGAAGGAAGGAAGATTAATAGACAAATTACAGCAAGGTCACTGCAATGCCACGGTCACCTAAAACAAGACAGTTCAAGATTCCACACTTAACAGAGCTCACAAAGCAGACTTTTACAGAAGCGAGGGTGAGCATCAGAGACAAAGGGGAAATAAGACAGACACATTCGGGTTGAACAATTTGTTTAAACAGGGATCAATCAGGCTGCCCACAAGATAAATTCTTTTTTTATATACTGTATATATATAAATGGAGAGCCGAGGAAAAACTGAGATGTGGAAAAGCCGAGAGCCAGGCAAGAAAAGAAATGTGTTCCGAATCTCCTGATGGATTTCCGTTCCAAGACAGCGGTATCACGGTCGAGCGCATTCAGAATTGAAAGATTAAAAATAGCTGTTTTTCACGAGGGAATTTCCTTCCGATATTCAATCCATCTGGAGAAATCTGGACAGACTGTGGTGCCAATCAAGGAGCAACCGGAAAAACTGGGCTCAGTCTTCCCTAGCCAGGAGCATTGTCTGGGTGACCACAAAGGCACCAGCCCCCAAATGAGAGAATTGTTTCAGCCCTCACAGACAGCTCAGTCAACTGGCAACGTGGCAAGCCCACACAGAAGAAATGTGCAAGAGGCCTCTTTTCTTTAAAAGGCTATCTCAGTTCGGACTGACTGTATTACCCAATGATGTAGCTGAAAGCTACAGTCCCTGTACTGCAACAGAGAAAATGAACTGCAGCACAGCTCCTGATTAGCAACACATGGCCACGATGTGAAAAATCGTTACACATTTATATCAGTGTTATTTTTTTTGCTGTGGGTCGGAGTTGAGAGACTAAAGTATTACACACATGGCGGAAAATAAATGCCACAAAATGTAAACTTCAGAAATTCCACAAAGAAACTGAAATCATCACGGGGAGCTACAAACGTTATGAAACTGCTGCAGAGACCAGCTGCTCCAGGAGCGCAATATACTTTTTAACAGTTCAGATTCAAGGAATTAAGGATGCATAACGACACTGTGTGATGAGGACAGAACAGATCTCTGGAACTGGGAAAACTCCTCCAAGGTATTTTGCAGCAGATTGTAAAGAGTGAAGTTTTTAAACATGCTTTATACTGATTACAAAGAGTGCTTTTCTATTAGAGGGCATTGGGAGGAAAAAATAAAAGAGAAGAGGCAACCTCAAGATCATGTTTCAGTTGTGTTTTGTCTCTTGCGCTAGTCTGTGGTTCAAACCTCAGTCGCACAGAAAAACGAGTAGCTGATTCTTTTCCTTCCTTTCCAAAAAAAGCAAGTCTGCTAGTTTCTCACCAGTCACTGCCTCGCAACTTTAAAAGTGCCAGTTCCAGCCAAAGCTCACAGGTTTGCAGAGAGACTGGCCTTTTTTCCCTTTTTTATACTGCAATGCATTGCCACATGGCAGAAAAAAAACTTAAAATTTCATTTGCGACAGCATAGAGCATGACAATCTCAAGATCCTGTGAACGTTTATTTATATTGACCTGTTCAGTACTGAAAGCCAAATAACATCCTGGCAGTTGCAAGTGGGCAAAGACCTGATCTCCTCTGAGCGAAGGGTATCAAAACAACCTTTCCAAAGCCCTGCGTAAAAATCTCGTGCTGTATCTAACTTCACAAGAACTGCTCAATCAATCAAAACGTCTAAATGGCGAACCAAAGACTATGATAAAATACAAAGTTGCGAGCTGTTTGAAGACAATCAGTCCCAAGGCATGTTATACACCCTGTGCTTCGTACACTCCCATCTTGCAGCTGGTAACAGCTGTGTTGTGCAATGATAAGGGTCCGTCCCTGAAGGGGAGACTGCAGGGAGTGAAGATAGCACAGGGCCATAGTCAGATAAGAGGCAGAGCAGGAGGTCAGCTCGGGTCACTGCAGGCCAATGGTGAGGGCTGAAGTAGCTCCAAAGCTATACGGACTCCACCCTGACCAGGAGCCCACTGCACATCTGTTTGGATATCAAAGGGTGTCTAATGTGAAGCACCACTCAACAGCAAGAGACTAAACCAACAGCCGTTCAGTGAAGAAGAGAGAAAGCAAGAGGAATGGGTAGGAAGAAGGAACGAGAAGCAGTTTTTAAGGAGCAGTAAGGGAGGTGTGGAAAATTACGCCAAGCAAGGCAACTAGTCCTACAATGTGCTAGTGCAACAGGGCTCTGTGGCACTAAGGTGGCTGTAAAAGTGAAAACGTCACATTTCAACCCAAAACCTTCTCAAATCCTCCCACGACTAAGAACTTAGTCTTTTAGAATAGATGACTTCTCCACTTTTTTCAAGTCTGCAGGCAACTGCGATCGAATCCCAGCAAGAACAGATCCGCACTTCTCACAGTACTGCATTCCTGAACTGCACTCTGTATCCTAAAACAAGCCGCTCTGTCTATGTACACAGTGACCAAAGTATTTTAAAGCACCTGTCCCATGAGTTCTCTCTCATGGCAGCAGCTAACACACAGCTGGTTTCACCCTTCGCTGGCCAGAGCAATCACTAGCTTACAATCCTACTGAAAACCGGTGGACACGCAGTCCAACCCTACACCCCACTTCCCTCATCACAACCTCAGCTGAAGACGTCCTTACTAGTTGAACGCAATGGGACCGACACGCAAATACTTCAATGAATACGACAATCCACATTTGAGCTAGTAGTCCCGAAATGTTATTTAGTTGGGGTCCCAATATTTTACCAAATAAAAATAGGCACAGTTTATCTGTTGAAATAGCCCAAGTTCAGACTTACACCTGAAGAAGGCTCCACAGCCGAAACGGTGTGTTTTTTCTCTCTTCTTTTTTTCAGCATGGAATAAACCTATTACTTGTTCCTTTGCAGCCTACGCATGCTGATGCAGCTACCCACCAGAACTGCTAAGTTCAGACTTGGCTTGTTAGGATCACAGCGAGTTCCAAACAGGCAGACGCAGGTCTGTTTGAGCCGAGAGGACAAACAACAGATTATCCCATTCTTTGGACTCAAGAACGGCTCTAGCAGAGCAGCCAGGACTATGACAGCCAACAGGCTATCAAATTTCTAGCGTTCATTTGGATGCTGAAAGCATAATAATTCATCACAAGAAAAAGGAAAAAAGAACATAAAGCCCTGACTATAACAGGGGGCTGTAAAAGAGCAGGTGCAAGCTCTAATGGGCTGCTTCGTAATGATAGGGTTGCAAAAGGTTCTGTTAAACCCATCAGCACACCCTCATCCCACGGCTGGGTCTTTGCTGGTGAATGGGAATGGCATGCTGGTCTGCATGAACAGTCAGACACAGGATCCAGGAGAGGAGTGGGAGAAACAGTAAAACAAAAGAGGGGGGGGGGCACAGAGGAAATGAAAAGGGCTGTTCAGTAGGACAGAGAAAGCTTGCAGAGGTAGAGAGACAGGAAACAGTGCGAGGGAGAGACAGCAATGAGAGGGCCGCTTCCTGTGACAGTGCTCAGGGTTACTGTGATCCCTGCCATCTGGGAAGACCTGTCAAAACCCAGCCGTACATTTTCCAGGCTCAAAGAGAAAGAACGTCTTAATTTACAAACAGAGCCCAAAGAACTGGACTATGGGCTCTTTCTACACTAGTCAATTTCACTTACTTGCATCTGAAGGAAAGACAAAACGTGCCAAAGACTGACTGCTGTCAGAATGACAATCAAATCCATTTAATTGATTTTCCAGCTATAGAACACCACAGGCTTCACTCAAGCCTTTTCATTCTGCTACTTTTGATATAGAATTTGCTGACAGTGGACCTAACAGATATTCTCGTGATCTGAATGTGCAGCCTACAGTATTTGCATTTCCTGGTTGTTTGAAAAAAAACAAAACAAAGGACCACCTAGGAAAATGCAGATGAGAGGTGAATCCTTTGAAGGGTGAACACAGAATAAAACTGTTTTCTCTGAGGGTCCCTCGGATCTCACTTGAACACGCACCAGACATGGGGAGCGCCAGGGGTCCGGAATGACATCTTTATGGGAGCCGAGCCACAGTCCCAGCTGAACTGGAGCCAAGGTCCTGGCACTGTCTGGCTTTCATTCTGCGGGAGCCAGAAGCCATCGCTCGGGCAAGCAGAAGGTGAGACGAGAAGAGAGGCGAGAGGGGAAATTCTGGGATTTAAAAGAGGAGGAGGGGGAGGGAGTCCAGCAGGAGGGAGGGAGAGGCAGATCTCCTTGTGGGCCCAGCAGATGGCAGAGGCGATGGCTCTATTGATAAAGGCCCGGCTCGGTAAATCAGGCAGCACAGAGGTTATTTACAGCTGGAGGGTCAGCCAATAACCCCTGCCTCCCGCCCAGCTCCGAAACTCCCACCACGCCGCAGCCCGGTAGCGGATTTACAGTGTGCTCTCTCCGTCCTCACGGATGGGCACCTACCCCATCTCTCCACAGGAAATCCCCCGCACGCGAGTCCATTCCGGCCTGCAGGATATCACTCTGTTCTTTACCGGCTCAGTTAAGAACCTCCGAATCCCGGTTGTGAGCACTTTTCTTACTTTTTACAATACAGTCTACTTTATAGTGTAAAAAACAATGGCTGGTTTTCCTTTAGAGAACTTACTACTGTCCGAAACAATTAAGCACTCCAAGTTTATTAATAACGGAAACACTAAGTTAAAAGAAATACTTAAAATGCATGTTGCAAATAATGAAGTGTTGTTAATAAGCTTAATAAGTGAATAAGCTGCAGTCTTGCTAAAAGAACACACAAAAACTACCCTCTGTACACACTACAAATACTTGCGTTTGCAGATCAAAGGAAATATCAGAAAATACTTGCAACACATGGTTTTATGAAAAAGAAGATCAGATGAACAGGGGATAAGAAATTGATGAGACGAGTTATGCAAGCAGTGAATGTCTTACTACCCTTCAATTCACCACAGCCATTTCTTCAAATTAAAATCAGATCGGATTCTAAGCCCAGTGTTTAGAATGCACAATAAATCAACCTTCAGGGTGTGTCTACATGTGAACTGGCCACATGTGAACACAGTGTTAAATGAAAGATTCCATTTGTTTGGGGAACCACGGTTCCAAATTAAAGCAATTCTCAAATTAAACCAAAACAGACCCAGTTATGCTATGGCGCTAGGTGGCCTTGAAATGGCATGAACACAGCAAATTATTACCAGCTGCTGAAATAATAAAATAACAACCCAGGAGTAAGTTCAGTAATTAAGAAAAAGACAACACTGAGCCCCCAGCTTTTCTGCAAAACGATCCTCTCTGCAACAACCCAAATGAAATCTGTTCTCTGGTGGAATTGAAATAGCACTTCAGAAGATAAAACACAAGTCAATTACCTGCCGAAAAGAAAACATTTATCTGCGTGTAAATACAGTAGGTGAGAGGCTATCCTTGTTGTATCTCCGTAAAGCACAAAACAGAAAAAGTCTTGACCTTCTTTTAATCAAGCAGTTATTGCTTTTATATCTGCACTGTCATCCCGTATTAGGATGCTTAAAATAGCTGTGACTCAGTTCTGTAGCATCAGCATGATAAGGTGTGCTAAATCCTATTGCAGCTTGTTCGTGCACAGGGACACGTGTGCTCACATTATCACATTAAGGCATGTCAGCCATGGCCCGCCAAGCCACACTGCTTTAGTGGACTTCCTATACAGAGAGAAACTTGTTTATTTCCTGACTCACAGTGATTGCCAAGCCGAAAACCTTTGGAGCAGGGCTGAGGACAAAGAAAGACTGCCTGAAAGTAGAAACATCTGAAACTAAACATCTTCTCCCCCCCACCAACAGAAAAGTCATTTTTCCATCTTACCTGGTTCGTGCTGATAAGCTCTCTACTCCTGCTGTGTCCTCCCCCGGCTCAAAGTGCCCGAGCAGGTGCTTCGAGCCGGAGCTCCGTTTGTGACAAATCCCCTCCTTCCCTTCTTCTCCCCGTCTCTGTCCAATCTCAGGCCTTCCTGACCCCAGCCCATAAACTAGCTCCACACTGGGGCAATAAACTCTTTGAGGAGAACATCTGCTGAAGGGGCTTCCTTCCGAGCACCAGTGTATGAACGCCTCCACAGCCGATCCAGCTCCCTCTGAGCGTCAGTCTTTCTGCCGCAGCTGGTCTCTGGCTGGCTCCTTCTCCCACTTTTCCAGGGCACCCCAACCCCCCCTTAATTCCCTGAATATAGGCAATAAAAATCCCACAATGAACACTGTTGCCTTATGCCTCCCACCCATCCACTTCTGAGGAGCGAAGACAAACACGACAGTTTATTGAGAGTGTGTGCATGCAATAAAGAAGTCAGATTGCCACCACAGGCCCATGCTTTAAAAATAGCTGAAACAAAAACAAAGGCTACTTTTTTTGGACCCTGGAGTTTTGCAATAGTGCTCCTTTATGAAAGAAAATATTATCTGGCAAAGAAGACGGCAACAGCTACAGGCCTACATAAAAAGAGGGTGTGAAAACCACAAAATCACTACCCGTGCTGGTGAAAAAATAATGTGTGTGAAGCTGCACTGCACTGGGGCTTAACAGCTTACAGGACTGTGTAGTTCTTGGAAAAATGCTTCATTCTTCCATATGAATCGGCAGATAGGCTCCTCAGAAAACACAGTCCTTCTCCTGCTTTCTGAATCAAAGAGCACTGACAGCTGCTGTGTTCAGACAGCCTTATGGGAGCCATGGTTTTCATCAGACAAACCGAATATGCTGTGAGCCTGACCAGTTGTACCCGGTCTTGGGGCTGCAGAAAGGCATCAGGAAAAGGCAAGGCTGTTGGTTTTAAAACGGCACTGGGAACTTTTTCTTCAAAGACATTTTAATCCACTGAGCTTCAGAAGTGACCTATCCCTTCTAAATGCAACACATTCACCCAGCTATCAAGAAAATGACAATCTGTTTTTGCAGCTGACACCCTGACATTTTATTGAACAGACATGACAGGGGTGAGTTTATTATGCTGATTAATGTTTTTCATTAAGAGGGCCGATCAGCAGGGGTTCTACTGTGAAAGGCACAGGCTAACAGCTAAAATTGATCACCAAGTAGAGTTCTGCAGCGTCGCACTAGGATCATGGAGTGACACTCAGTGAGGTGTTGTAACTCATGCTCTCCCAGATCGTGGCCTATTATTGACAGACTCTGACAGCAAGAAATGGTGCACTTGCTTAGTCCAGACTCTAATCAGATGGCACAAAGGCTCTGTTTTCTGTCCCCTGGCACTATTTAGTGGGTATTGATCCCTTTCTGGATTTTAATTTACATCAGTTTTAACATTGGTTCAATTACCTCAGCACCTGTGTCCAATTAGCTCTCACACTAATGATGTGATTTAGTCCTTAAGTCACTCATGGTCTTGAGTCATGAGCGATAGGTTAATCAAAATGATCCCAAAAATCAAAAATCTCAAATTTGATAAGGGCATTTTATCAAATGCTGTGTCCTATTTTTCCTAAAAACCAAACGTTTAGGAACTGAGCGATCAGTTTCTTCTGATGCCCAGTTTGTGTTTAATTGAGAAAACAATCCCATTCCTATACTTGTAGAACTGCAGGGAAGCCCCTGCTGTAACTGTAAAACCATTAAAGCCCCAAACAAAGCCAGTAAATGAACTGCAAAGGATAGTGTGTGAATATCTGACTGCAGCTTTGGTCTCCTCAGCAGAAGAAGAAAGGGCTCGAACCCATACATGCTGTACAGTAGGTTAGACTTTGTTAATTCCTTACAATTAATTCTCTTCTTCAGGAAGCGCTTCAATTTTTGCTTACAGTATTTGGGTGGTTGGGTAAATTTAGCCAGGAACAGGTACTCACACAAATCAGAAATGTCCTCCTCTACCACTCCAAACAGCATACTGAAAGGAAGGAAGGAAATGCTCTTCCTGACAGCCTTACTCTTGCTCTTCAGGGGTTCTGTAGGAAGACTGCCTAGGCAGAGCCAGAGAGCACCAGGACCCTGGACAGTATCAAAAGGGTCACCATTTACCTGCGCATCCTACCCACAGTGAAGAGACACAGTACCCTTTATCTTTCGCAAGATTACTAACAGTCTAAGTACATCCACAGATTCTAACGTAAACACAATAGACAAGACAGGATCCACAGCACTATTACAATATCAAAAAATCCTGTGAATTAGAAAAATCTACAGTATGCTTAACAACTGTATTTAAAATTTCCACTCAAACACAGTTTTCATTTCCAAGCACTACTGTTAATAAAGATCCATTTCTGTATCTGCTCCAGGGCTATATCATGCCCTGTGCTTTTAAACACAGAGTTTTAAACCACAAGAGGAGAAAGGAGCTGTGGGTTGGCAAAAAGAAAGTTAAAACACTAAAAGCCCACATCAGGACATTTGTAGTTTGCTTCAGGGAAGAAATCTATAGAAGCACAATGCTCGTTAAGCAAGCTGCACCACTACGGTATTAATGGACATTATTTATTCATTAGCAGACACTGATACAGTTCTGCAATTTCAGCATATGTGTCGTACTGTCAAGCAACTGCTACAACTTTGGTGCAGCAGGTTCTCCTCTCTGCAGACCATTTTCTTCAAAATAAATGCCCTGACCTCAGGCCAAAAGGTCATGTTGTATAGTTTCATTAGAGCAGGGGGTGCAGTGTGGACAGGTTGCATCCAAGCCATTCTTTGGCTCTTAAATGGCTTTAACAAGGAAATAAGTGTCCTTTACGGGGGTCCAGTGAGTAAGAGGCCATCTGGTCCTTATGTAAGCCTTTTACCAGTCAAGCAAGTTGACAGAAGGGTTCAGCCTCTCTCAGCTGGAGCTCCTACAGAGGCTGTGCATCTTCAGGTCTTTAATATCCCTATTAAAGAGGATCTGGGTGACGGACACATGTTAATCGACCCCGCCCACGAGGAGAGACGTACACACTGCTGACCCGCCTCTTGGCCAGCAGCAGCAGCCTTGCAGCTAAGAAGCTCAGGAATGGAGAAACCCCCTTCGAACAAGATTTCTGCAGTCTAGCCACCAAGAGAGAGCGCGTCATGACACGGCTTATGTCATACTTTAAAATGCAGGCATTCCCATTTTAGAAAAAAAAATGCCACTGGGCAGATGTCTTATTCCTTCCTCTGCAATAAACTATAATAAGCACTAAAAGCCGCAGCAGGTTTCCAATATCATCTCTTCAACCTGCACCACCACCAGCAATGATCTTTTTTTTAGGTGTGCTCTATGATTGTCATTTTTAATAAACAAAGGTGACCACAGAAAAAAAGTAAAATGCTGCAAAATCAAAACGCTGTTTTCTAAGACTCCATCCCTGAACAGTAATTGCAGGCGAACACAGAATGCACTCTCTCTCCCGAACTATTTTGGGAAGGCAAAAAAAAGGCGGACAGAACAAATCCACAAACCCCGCACATGGCATGCATCAGCTCTGGCAGTGCACTGACACAAAGCACTGACAACGCCTGCTGGTTTCGTCTGCCTTTGAATGGGGCTGCTGAGCACACAGCTTTCACCCTGAATTGGTCGTTCTTATTGCATCTGTGGAAACAGAGCTATTTCCCTCACTCGTTTCTACATGTGAAAAAGACGTCTGCAGACTCACAATGCAGAAATGCTTCACCGGGTGCACACCTGTACTCACGGAGGACCAGAGAAGAGCTCAGCTTGTATTAAAGATTTTTAAAGGAATGTCAATGGATCCACAACTCACAAAAGCTGAAGACATTTTGAAGCTCTTTTAGTATTTATTCACTTCTCTGTATAAACAAACAGGTCCTTATATAGCATCTGTATCCATCCGAATGAATATGGCCAGTGCATCATTTAAATATTTAGAAAAAATAACTAAAAAGTAAGTGCTGCTCATACGGCTAATCACTATATGCCCACTAAAATAATGGAAACCAATACATTGCAAAAAATGCCATGAATTGTACAGCAATGCATTAATCTAAACACTACATTGTTTGCCCCATAAAAATGAGCTGCATTCTGCAATTTGTCTTGCGACTAATAAAATCAGTGGCATCTGGAAGAGCTTAGGAAGTCGTCATCCCTGAACACGATGTGTTTAGTACATCTTAACTGACGTCAGGTTGAGAGAGTGTTAGTGCTGCACTGACCCCGATGAAGACGGAACAAAGGTCGTGGCCCCACAGTCCCGGCGCGATTCCCCCGAATCTCATCCGCAAAGGGATCCTGCTGATTCTGATTAAATTGCCACATGTTTCAGTCTGCCAGAGTGATTAAAGAGACGTTCCCCTCATGTAATGCTTACAGTATTTCCTGTTTTAACAAGAGGGCGAGTCGCCTTCGGGCTTAACCACAGAGGCCTGAGCAATACATCTTGCATTTTGATTGGGGGTTCAATCATCCTCTCAGCATCCTGTGCAGGAGGAGCTGTCGTCCTCGATTTCAAGAGCTCATCGTTGGTTTTGACGGAGACTCTGGATGGTGCC